AAGAACAAACAATTGGAAATTATTAGCTAAAAGTATAGCAGGCGGTTGTAACTGTGAGCTAACTGTAGCCTATTGACATTAAACTAATGAATAAATAGCAAAATAACACAACATTTTTTGGTAATAAATGAATAAATAAATAAATAAAAGTGTTAAACAAGAACCAATTTAAAATGAGTTTTAAATGAACACACATTTTCCATTTTTACTGACGGGAGCATCCTGCAGCTTCTGTATCGCCTGAAGTGTTTCTGAAACTTCGACTGGAAATTTTTGGTAGATCTCATTCATTATCATCAGTGTGGTGTAAATCGGTAATTAAGGAACTGCTCCAAATTAGGAAAGAATGTTTATGGGCCTTTTTTAACAATGACAAGCCGAAGCCTCAACACGTAGAAAAGCGCCTGAACCAGCTACGCCCATGAGGTGCCCGACATTTTTGTGTTTGGACAACAAAGGAAGGGGAATTATCTCGGGCAGGTTTGTAAGTGTGTAAAGTCACACGGGAACGTCAGGAAGTCAATCAACTGGATCACTTAAAAAGAACTCGGAGTACGTCCAGAACAAACAGCATAATTAGATTTTCCAACGCACTCGGTTACACGCAGAACACGCAAGCATCAGGACAGCACAAAGAAACCCTCCACCGAGGCAAACACATGCAAACACGTCCATTGACAGGCTGCAGACAGACAATTTCCTGTGTTCAGGCGAGCTGGACGACATTTATTAGAGCCCGAAGGTTCGTTCTTATATTGGTCTGCCTAAAGCCTGAAGAATGCAGGAGCGTCTTCTGAAATCATAAATAAATCTTAATCTGTGTCTGCCGTCGTGGATCATCCCACTCCGTCTGTCTGCCTCGGTTAGTCGGTACGACAGCTCCAGAGACCCCCAACAGACCTGGGAACGAGTGTAGGGGCATATCTGGTGTCCTGCTTTCAGACCTCCACAAGTCTTATGTTACATCGTATTTACTCCACATGGTGATGAAATGACAATAACATGTTGTCTCAGGCCTAATGTCCAGCAGGGAGGCAGCACAAGCAAAATCAACAATGATATAAGCCCATGTATAGTTTATGT